GATAAGGGGGTATCACAGGGACGTGGGGACATGATGGGGACAAGGGACACAGGGACATGGGGACGTTGTGGGGACACCATAGGGACATGGGGACACAAGGATATGGGGACATCATAGGGACATCGTGGAGATGTGGGGACACGGGGACACCATGGGGACATGGGGAGGACATGGGGACATCGTGGGGATGTGGGGACACAGGGATGTGGGGACATCATGGGTACAAGGGACACAGGGACATGGGGACGTCGTGGGGACACAAGGATAAGGGGACATCATGGGACATGAGGACATGGTGATGACATGGGGACATCGTGGGGGTGTCATGGGGACACAGGGACATGGGGACACAGGGACATGGGGATGATGTGGGGACATCATGGGGACATGAGGATGAGGGGACACCATGGGGGCTCATGGGGACATCATGGGAATATGAGGACACTGTGGGGGACACAGGGATGTGGGGACATCATGGGGACATCGTGGGGATAAGGGACACAGGGACGTGGGGACGTTGTGGGGACATTGTGGGGACATGGGGACATAGGGATATGGGGACATTGTGGGGATGTGGGGACACAGGGATGTGGGGACATCATGGGGACATCATGGGGACAAGTGACACAGGGACATGGGGACATTGTGGGGACACCATGGGGACATGGGGACACAAGGATATGGGGACATCGTGGAGATATGGGGTCACAGGGACATCGGGACATCATGGGGACATGGGGACGTTGTGGAGATGTTGTGGGGACACCATGGGGACGTCATAGGGACAAAGGGACAAAGGGATGACATGGGGACACACTGTAGGGCTGCTATGGGGCCGTTATGGGGCGGCTATGGGGCACTGTGGGGACGTGATGGGGATGTGGGGATATGGGGACGGCCCCACAAATTCATCCCCCATAACCGCCCCACAGCTGCCCTATAGCTGCCCCATAACCACCCTATAACTGCCTTATAGCTGCCCCATAACTGCCCCATAGCTGCTGCATAACCGCCCCATAACTGCCCCATAGCTGCCCTATAACCACCCCATAGCTGCTCCATAGCTGCCCTATAACCACCCCATAACCGCCCCACAGCTGCCCCATAACTGCCTCATAACCACCCCATAATTACCCCATAACCACCCCATAGCTGCCCTATAGCTGCCCTATAACAGCCCCATAGCTGCCCTATAGCTGCCCCATAACCACCCCATAGCTGCCCTATAACAGCCCCATAACTGCCCCATAGCTGCCCTATAACAGCCCCATAACTGCCCCATAGCTGCCCCATAGCCGCCCCATAGATCCCCCATAACCGCCCCATAGCCGCCCCATAGATCCCCCATAACCCCCCACACCGGGGGAGGGGCCGCCATGGCGTGTGTGTGGGCGGAGGTCAGAGGTCAGGGCGGAGGTCAGAGGTCAAGGCCGGGTCAGAGGTCAGGGGGC